CCTTAGGTGTACAGAGCTGGATAAAGATTTTGGTGTTGATGATGATATGTTAATGCATCCAGCTTTTGAATATCAACCAAGGTTGGTTTTTTTCTGAATAATCTCAAGTGAGAATAAATAATCTTTTGTTATTTGCATGGCTGCAACTGCTATGCTATTTGATTATTTGTTCTGCTATTGTAGAAGAGGACAAGGTTTTTATTGGGTCACCAGCAAGTCTTCTTCAACTTGACTAATTTGAACAACTTTCTTTAAAGTTTTTTTTTGTAGTAATGACTTTATCAGGTGTATATCAACCACTACTGAAGAGGCCTGTCGTGTTATGACCCAAACCCTTGGTGGAGTAGCAGGCTTACCTCGTGAAATTATTTCTGATACAAATAGCCAACCTTTGGAAAATTTTGGAACCTGTTGCAGCTACTCAACCTGAGGCATTTGTAACTGATCAGCCAAATGAAACAATTCAAGGTAACCTAAAGTTTGGCTTTAATGTACTACAACTTGATGTTGCCAATTATTTTGTAACCTGATGCTTATAAAAATTATAACAACATTTTATGTATCTTAATGTGTTTACTTTTTAGTGTTATCAGTTGATTTAACTGATGAAGCAAAACAAGAGAAAGATGTTCTGATCCATAGAACAAATGTCATGAAAGACATGATCAATGAGTTCAGGAATAATGATATCATTAATTACAAGCTTGTTTTGCGAGTCATGGCAAGTAATGGAGCAGTGGAGAAGGGTGAAGGTGAAGGAGTTGTTAGGGAAATTCTGATTTTATTTTGGCAATCCTTCTCCAGCTCTTTGTCAGTAGGTGCAAAAGAAAAAGTCCCAAGCATCCGACACGATTTTCAGAGCAGTGATTGGCAAGCAGCTGCTCGCATTATAATTTTTGGATATACAACTGTAAAATATTTTCCCATAAATTTGTCAGTGGCGTTTGTGGCCTTGTGCATTTTTGGTGAAGAAAAGGTTCCTAATGACATGCTGCTAGAGTTATTTAAGCTTTATGTGTCCACTGATGAAAAGAATGTAATCAATGCTTGTTTGAATGGAAATTTCAATAGCCAGGATGAAGATACACTTGAATTTTTAAGCAGTTACAAGTGCTTTCATGCTCCAAGTGAAGAGAATATCAACAACATAATTTTTCAGTTTGCACATCAAGAAATTTTTCAGAGACCAAAATACATAGCATCTTGTTGGTCAGAAATTTTAAAATCTCTTGTAGTGTTTGACCCTTTTAAGTCAATTGCAGATTTAAAGAGCATGATTGAGGACAAAGCCGCTAGTACCAAAAAAGTTCTTAAATTATTGTCTGCCAAACCAGAAAGTGATGCGGAAAGAGTTTGTTTTGATCATCTGAAAAGGTTTGTGAAAAGTTTATCTGAGGATGCACAAGTAGCATTTTAACTGTTCACTACCAGCAGTGATATAGTGGTTTGTGATTTTATAGAAATAGTATTTGTATAGAAATAGTATTTGTATCTCTGGATGGGCTTGCTAGACGACCAGTTGCCCACACATGTAAGCCCAGTTTAGAATTGCCTACAACATACCAGTCTTATAACGAGTTGTGTGAAGAGTTTAGCAGTTTACTTAGAGAGAAGAGCTTTTGGGAGTTTGACATTGTTTGACCAGGGAGACTAAACCAATTTTATAATGTAAATGTGTAACAAAACCTGTTTAGTTCTGTTTTGTTTTTGAAATTTTTGTTCACTGAGTACTGTGCTAGTGGTTACACTTCCAGTGATTTCTTTTTGAGCTTGCTTCAGGTCACCATATACTTTCTAACTATAGTACTATAGTACATAATAAAGACAATGTAAATTAAGTAGCTGCTTTATTGTTATGTTGCTCAATAAAAGCTTTGTATTATTCACTGTGTTGTTCATGTTCATGTATTTCTTGTAAACATGAAACATAATGATAAATTCCGTAATTGCCATCATCACTTAGGAACTGTTGACTGTTTAAAGTGCTAGGAATTGAAAGTTCAATATGTGGAACAATTATTGCATAATCCTCATCATAGATAGCAAATCCAGTCTCTGGCGACTGCTCATCGTCTGCAATACCAGAGCCAATTGTGTTATCAAAGACCTCATTTGAATTTTCACATTCATGCTGATCAGAAGCAGCATTAAGAGAACCAGCAATAAACATTTGCTCCGGACTTTGATGACCTGCACTGCTGACTGGATGGCTATTCCATTGTTTCACAAATTCTTCTAGACTCTTGTTAATTTTTGGAATAAACACCAGCTGCAGAGCAAGCAAATGTTGCTCGTTATCAATATCAAGTAAATGTTCCTCTTCCATGAAATTGAAAAGTAAAGCATAATGGAGACGCTCCACTCTTACATTATGAACAGATCTTCCTGTGAGTACACTGCCACGATTTGTTCCTCTGTGTTGAAGCATGTACCTGGCTACATGTACATTCCCCACGCCATGGTCAGTTCTTATTTTTTTTGGCAAACCATGTGCGGATACCCCACGTTGAAATAAAGAATAGACCGTTGAAGCTAAATTATTGTTTTGACAAGATAGATATATAATTAGCCTGCTGAAACCATCTATACATGCATGTACAACCATTCTCCAACGAATGAGTTTGTGATTGCCATCCAGATGCCACAAATAGTTGGGATATGGCACGCTGTACTTTCTTCTATAGATGGCTACATGGCCACGTAGTGCTGTACCGATCGGATCTAATTTTCTTAGACAATTCCGCACTCTCCACCTTTGAATTCTCAACCCTCTACATCTAAGGGTCCCAAGTAAACGAGTTTGTCCTATGTTAGGTGTGAGGAGGCGTATGCTCTCTACAATTTTACAAAGATCAGCGTCAGATATATTGGAGAAGTTCTGTTCTAACACAGTGAAATTCTGTCTTTTTCTTCGTAAGGTACGATCAGAAACACGAAGAATCTGAGCAATTTTTGTCCAGGTAAAATGCTTCGACCTTAAAGGACACATGCAACATAAAATTCGGATTGTTATTTTTGTACTTTACATGAAGGTATAGCTCCAACTAATAGTTCACCAAAGTTTGAGACTCAAAGGATAAATATTTTTGAAGATATGGACGTTTAAAATTGATGCTTTACTGATAACGTATTGAAAATGCCCGACGAGCTAGCGACAGCTACCGATGTCGTTGTGACGTAATAGTTGACATTCGCTAAAAGCGGTCAATTGCGCGCTTCGTTCAAAATATATTGGTAACTTCTTAACAACACGACAATTTAGCATTGAAAATATGGTTTATTGTGCCGCATTTAATTGTAAAAACGGTTCTTCTAAGAACCACGAAACGCAGCAAAAGGTTTCTTTTTTTTCGTTTCCCGAAAACAAGCGTATGCGAGATATTTGGATTGAAAAAATCCGACGCAAAAATTGGAAGCCAACAAAGAGCTCAAAATTGTGCTCGCAACATTTCGAGAGTTCGTGCTTCGTGCAAAATTTTGAAGCGATGCAATCAGTAGGATGGACAGCAGGACGGCTTCGCCTTAAGAAGGATGCTGTACCCACAATTTTTGAATACTCTGTGGAACCCACAAGTGTAGCATCTAAAAGGAAGCAGCCAACAAATGTTAGAACTGCATTTGAGAAGAGACGAAGGCAAGAGGTGAATATTATAGTTATAGTTAGCAATATTTGTTTACATTTATCAAAAACTAAGCTATATAGCATTACCAAATTTTATAATATTAGATTATTGACGACGTTCTTGTAGACGACGACCACGATGTGTCGACATCGGCTCGAAATGTTTGTGCGTTTTACCTCAAAGGAAGTTTGTCTAAGATGAAAGATGTCAAAATATATGTAGACAGCGAAACACAAACATATACAGTGGTAACTAATTCAGACTAATGTCGTTTGATCATTTCTTTGTTATTTTAACTCATAAAAAATTCCTTAACGTACCTTAGAAGCGCAATGTGAAATGCCAAGCAGCCATAACAATCCGTCCGCAAAAACACGTAAGGTAAGAACCACTCAAACAAAAGTGCCAAATATGATAAGTAGAGGTATAGACTTTCCATTTCGGCTGTTTTGATTTTTGTGAAAAATCCAGCAATACGATAATTTTATGCTAAGGTACGGAGGTTGAGTTCATTTCAACAAAAAATCACAGCACACAGACGACGTCATGTGAAATTGAACATTTTGAGGATAGCGCTGTATGGTCTGATACAGAAAGCACGTCGACGATGAGCAATAGCAACAATGGATCAGACTCTCAATGTTCAAATGAGTTAAGCGAAAATGAAGAATCCGACAATGACAATGCAACGTTAGTACCAACTATCCAGTCACCTGACTATACTTTATTCAAAGTCAAAAGAAGGACAAGGGGTCATCAAACCAGTGAAAGTTGACAGCACTTATGGTTAGCACAGAAAAATACTTACCTTTTCTCAAAGTGCAATGCAAAGCCAACATAAATAATGATTTGCTTTTCTGGATATGTTAAGGACTTGATGAAAGAAGTTTTGTACTGCAGACGCATTAATCCAACACTCTCCAAAGCTCTTGATGTCGCTGGAGTGAAAGAAATACCTGTCCCATTGACTCACCCACAAATCAAAAATCAGCAAAGCTGAAGCCATTAAGCAACATAAATCTCGCTTTAATAAATAAAAAGAAATAAAGTCCCACATGAAATAAACATAATTACAAATGAACAGACTTTGTCATACGCCATAAGCCCAACCATTCAGTAGTGTTGAGCATATTCAAATCCTTTGTATTCTCCAGAAGGCGAAGGAAATGCTTTCCGGATTTTGTCCACAGCACAAGAATGTATGGGTAGTCGGTACTTTTTTCCCAACCTGCCATCCACCCAAGCCGTCCACTGTCGGTACGCCGTGTAGCGTAATGCTCTGAACGATACAAAATTTTGTCTAAGATACTTATCGGCATCATACACTTGTCGACATACACGTAATTACACTTCTAAGGTAATATTTACTCGTTTTCTTCACTCAGGCATAGGTCCAATGTCATGTGTGTACACGACCATAGCTGTTTTTAAGACAGCTTCGTTTGTACATACTGTGGCAAACTCTTCCTCTTGTGTGATGCAAATATGATCGCCATGTATCAGAGGATCAGTGTTGTTTACCTCTTGGCAACATATACTTTCCCGTCCTGTACTCATGACCACACAAAAGCCACACTCGCACCTAAAAGATAAAAACATTCTTTCTACTTTGGGAAAAACAATGAAGCATCAATAAAATGCAACTAACCATTCAACATTTCCAACTCTGTGAATGTATTCATCTTCGCTTTCCGATGACGAAGAATTGTCATTACTATGACCACCTTCCGCGTTGGCCAAAGGCTCAAACATGTAAGGTTGTACCTCATTGTTATTGACGACAATATCATAATCGGCTTCTTCTTCAGAAGAATCCATTAATTTTTGTTAAATAAAAAACAATAATAGCAAACTACCGAAAGCCGTGCAAGTATTGCGTGCAAGTCGTAGAACGATATAAGAACGAAGCTTGTTTATGTCAACTATTACGTCACTCTTTCCCAGTTCCCAGACTTAAACAATCTCACGGCGTTTTAGCAATGGTCATCGAATATCGTGTTTTTACCGATTATAACCCTAAATATCTTTTTAAATATTTCGCGGACGACTTTGAAACTTGGTACGTCTTATTTTCACGCTATAGGCATTACAATAAAATAAAGTTGTCTTCTAGCTTGCATGTCTCCTTTAAGAACAGCACCTGTTCTTCATTATAGGGACCTTACGATGAGACAACGGCAACTGCGACGGCAACCTCAATCTACTCTGAAGGGACTGGATCGACTAGTTGCCGTTGCCGTTCTCGTTGTAGCTAATTTGTCCTTGCGATAAGGCGACGTTCGTAAAAAGCGCGGGAAATCTTTATGTTGATAAAAAGTTTTTCGCTAAACAGCTAGCTTCCATATTTATATATTTTCCATGATGCCGTGCATCAGAGACGCTCTGTTACTTTCTCATGGTGATGGTTTTCTTGGTGTAGATGACTGCATGTTGCTATACGAAATATATAAACCAAAAAACCCGAATATGTGTTACAGAAAGTACGACAAGTTTTCCATTCACAAGTTTTCTGACGATGAGTGCAAAAACAATTTTCGATTTTATCGCAGCGATATATACCACCTACGCGACGTAATGCAGCTACCTCTAGAGGTAACTTGTTATAATGGTGTTCAAGTCGACAGCATTGAGGCGCTTTGTATATTTTTGATGAGGTTTGCTTATCCTTGCCGCTTTGCAGATCTGGTGCCAACATTTGGAAGACCCATTCCACAGCTATGCATGATAATAAACGAAGTTATCAACTTCACATATGAGCGATGGGGACATTTGTTGTCTTCTTTAAATCAACCCTGGCTTTCTCCCTCCAATTTACAAATATTTGCTGATGCAGTACACAGCCAAGGTGCTCCATTGGCAAACTGCTGGGGGTTCATAGATGGTACAGTCAGACCTGTGACTAGACCAGGAAAAAATCAACGTGTACTTTACAACGGTCATAAACGAGTACACGCCATAAAGTTTCAGTCTATAGCAGCCCCTAATGGACTAATTGCTAATTTGTATGGCCCAGTCGAAGGAAAACGACATGACAGTGCCATGCTGGCAATTTCTGGTATCTTGAATCAAATGCAGCAATACTCAATGAATCCTGAAGGAGATATACTTTGTGTGTATGGGGATCCAGCTTACCCTCTTAGACCACATCTTCAAGCTCCATACAAAGGCTGGGCTAACAGCAGACCAACTTGCATGGAACAAATCTATGAGCTCTGTCAGGGTGGCAGTAGAGTGGGTGTTTGGTGATGTTGTTAACTATTTTAAATTTGTAGACTTTAAGAAAAATCTTAAAGTTCACTTGAGTGCAGTGGGGAAAATGTATGTTTGTTCTGCCTTAATTCATAATGCACGCACTTGCCTATATCAGTCAACAACCTCCACTTATTTTCAGCTTGATCCACCTGCTTTAGATGAATATTTTTTTGACAATGAATGAAAAGAGGTATTATAAATGCTGTATTGTGCTGCAATGTTTACATAAACGTTTGACATGTTTTAACAGAGTACAGAATGAATAGACCAAAACAATAACTAAAAACAACAATATTTAATACAAACAATACAAATAACAATGTAAGTTAGACCAAAAAATTAGTCCTAATCCTTCATTATTCTTATTTATGTTTATGTTTAGAAATATTAAATGTCTTATAAACACTGTCTTTCAACAGAACAATGATATGCAAACAAAAAATCAAATAAAACACAATGATTGTTACGGTTTATAGTTGAATTTTGTTGCAAACTTTTCAAATATAGCTACAAAAGAAGCACTTTGCTGCTGCTGCTGTAACATCATACCTTGAGTCACTTCAAATAGCTGTTTCATCTGTTGTTGTTGCATCATTTGGGAATTAGTTAACTGCATAACTTGTTGCTCATTCTGCTCTTTTTGGCGTTCAGCTTCAAGCCTTTTCATGCGTAGTTCTTCCTGCATAAGTTCGTAATGTCGTTCACTTTCCGTTCTTCTCAGCTCGACTTCATCAGCTTTCATTTTTATATCAATTTCGCCTTTTTCTCGCAGGTATCGCATGACATCCGATCCACTGGTCTTTTTCTTCTTTTTAGCAGATGGCTCGTTATTTTCTTCCTCGCCATTCCTCTTTTTCGTTTCTTTGAACGTTTCCATTGAGCAGCGACGCATTTCTACAGCCTTTTCAACTTCTGCCTGAGCTCTCTGTTTTTTCTCGAACGTGAGTTGTTCATTTAAATGATCAGCTTCCTCAAACTGAGCTATGATGTCCTCCATAGCCTCGTCAAGTTCACTCTCTTCGGGTGAAATACCACTGGCTCTTTCTTCTTCTGATTGTTTTCTTTTGTATTTCTTTTCGAGAAGTTGATATCGATCGCGAACAGATCTCTGAGATACATGGAATTTTGGCATTTCCAAAGCATTGAGCGATTTAGCAATGTTTTCCCAAATTTGGCCTCTTTCAGTTGATCCTCTTTCTGTGAATCCATGGTCTAAATAGCAAGATTTCTCGTGATAAAGCTATATCATGGCTTGAGGACTATTTCATAGATGCACGTGAAGCAACAGTAGTGCTACAAAGAGATATTCAGAAAAATATGTAAGCATTTTAAGCCATAAGTAGCCATTTAAGCATAAAGGCTGAGTCAACCATAACCTCATTTACATATATTAAGCCAAAGATAACAAAACTCACCTCGCCATTTGACAATCGAATGATTTTTGCAAGATTTTTGATTTTTTTTCTCTGCCGTTCTGAAGCGACGCCAAAGTTGTTGTTTTCACGTCGGTTCCGTCTTTTCAAAACGTGTAAACAACGTACAGATGGTGCGTGCGCATGCTCACTTAAAAAAAGGATCAAACTCCGGTACCGTCGCAGTTGCCGTTGTCGCATCGTAAGGTCCCTAATATCATAGCGGGGCCGACCTTCACCACACGTTGTAGAGGAAACTAGGACACTTGAAGGCTGTACAAACGATTCGGCATTTTGAAGTTGGTTATTTTCTTCGTCAATATACTGTTTTAACGCAAAAAAAGTTTGAAGAAGTTGAAAAATTAGCTCCCATAGAAAATGTGTTGGATTCAAACCATTGAGTAAAACTACCAGAGTATCACATGCTTCGTCCATTTTCACTGACAAGTTTTCAAGAGCATCCAAGGAAGCAGAGCGGTTGTCAGTAAGTGGCCCTTCCTCATACACATTTTGTATTTGAGAAAGAATACCCTTCAAAATATCTAAAAAACTCGAGAAGTTATTCCTTTCTGCCATATTCTATGGAAAGCCATAGTGGACAAAAGTAGTCGAGAATTTTTTTGGAGTCGAGTTTTTTTTTTTACAGTCGAGAATTTTTTTTTACAGTCGAGATTTTTTTACAGTCGATTTTTTTTATAGTCGAAATTTTTTATAGTCGAGAATTTTTTACAGTCGAGAATTTTTTACAGTCGAGATTTTTTTACAGTCGAGATTTTTTTTTACAGTCGAGAATTTTTTACAGTCGAGAATTTTTTTCAGTCGAGAATTTTTTTTTACAGTCGAGAATTTTTTTGGAGTCGAGATTTTTTTACAGTCGAGAATTTTTATGGCAGTCGAGATTTTTTCGCACCAATTTTTCCGCGTTTATAGGCGCATTAAAAACAATATGGCGACTGAATCTTCATCAGGCGCAAAAGAGATACTTTCGCAAATATTTAACCGTATCGAAGAATTGTCGGATGCCTTGGCAAGTACTGAGGCATCTTCCAATAACTATGCTAGTGTTGAAGTTCACGACTCGGTTGAGAATGAAGTAAGAAAGACGTTTGGACAACATTCATTATCATCAGGTATGGAAGTAAATCAATCAAGTAATACAACGCAGTCGCACTGCACAAATCATGCATCCGTCACAGCTTCCTCTTCACATCTGGCAACTCCTTCCTACAATACCAGAAGATATTTCGGTGACCAACGGTCAACTATGAGATCAAATCGTCGGAGGAAATGTTCTAAATCGAAAAAAGTTAGTACTGGGCCATTCTCGCGTGATCTTATCTTACTATCAGGTCCAGATGACAAGAATGTACCTCGTCAAGGAGGAAAAGTTTTTCTGCAGGAAAATGGACACATCATCAGTGCGTTTGAATTTCATAAAGAGTGGACTGACATTGACGTAGAACTTGAAATACGCCAAGCTTTTCAAGGAACCCTGCCTGATGACGTGGAAATTGAGATTGTGCATTCTGTCCATACAGCACTTCTCAAACCTACATTAGCTCAAGGTCAATATTTAAATGGTTCTGTAATCAACAGAATCTTTAGCAACAACAAACCAGTTTATATTAGGCCATGTAGACAAATCCTAAATCAGCCTACAAATAAAGAGAAACGTAAAAGGTATAGTCTTCCAGAAAATGTGTTTGACGATGTTGAGGATGATGAATTATGGAGGCTATCAAATGATTCAAGTCTTAATGAAATCTTAACTAACAATTTTCAAGGTGGGATTTGAAAAAATATTCTTTTTTTATTGTTTTGGAGTAAAATCTTATGAAAAATCTATAGCAGTATATATACGTGTTCTAGAGATGAAAAAAGATTAAAATATATAATATAAAGCTTTTTATACATTGAAAGGAGCAAAATTGTGTAATGTCTATATTTCAGTATTTGTCATAAACACTTATTCATATATTGTAATTTATCAAGCAAATCAAGTTCAATTTGGAGAAACAAATCAAGCTACTGTGGTCATAGATGAACCCTTGAAGCAACATGAAGCCATTAATGATAAGCAGCTTGATGATGCTGTTGCAGATATGATCAATCCTGGACCTTCTACTGAAATGCAAAACAACCAGTGTGAATTGTTTGAAACAAACTTGGAAGAACCATTTGATTTACAAGGTAACTAATGTTTCCATGCATATGAAAATAAAATGAGTCAGACATTGTTAAAGTTATTGACCCAGTTAAAGAATCAAATAATCACAACTACATTGAATAGTTTATAATAAAAACAATTAAACCACTAAAACCATGTTGTTTGAAATACAAATAGTTAAATGTATCCTTATATCTTCCTTAAGTCTTCCACAATATTCATCATTATCATCATTATCATCATCATCATCATCATCATCATCATCATCATCATCATCATCATCATCATCATCATCATCATTATCATCATCAGTATTATTTTTATTTTTATTTATATAGAGTATGCCAAAGAAACTATACAAACTAGTTGAATATTTTATGCCTGTTATCTTTAATTGTATCCCAAGTACCCTAGCATTTATCCATCAGTATCCTTATTAGTCCTTGCATTATTTGTATTATTGCTATTATTATTAGTACTACTATTAATATTATTAAACTGTGATAAATTTTATCTGCAGACATTGATCACTCACTTTTACCAAAAGTGTTATAAAAATAAATTTGTTACTTATGCCTGATAAAAATCTTTGTTTTTTGTGATTGTAAAAGTGCTATATTATTTGATTTGAAAGATGATGGAGACGTAAATATTGATGCAGATGGTGAATTGTACAGTGGTAAATTCATTCAAAACAATCGTTTGGTTAAGGAAATCGCCATTAACCGCCACAATGTGTTAGCAGACATGATTATTGCGTTCAAGGACGAAAGTATTTTGTCGTGTTGCCTAGAGATTGTATTTATCGACGAAGCAGGAGATATCGAAAACGGAAGAGGTTCTGGTGTAAAACGAGAGGCGCTTAGCATATTTTGGAGAGAGTTTTATAACTCACTGGCTACTGGTGCTTCCGAAAAAGTCCCAGCTATACGTCATGACTACCAACAGAGTGAATGGAAAAGTATTGCTCGTATTCTTGTTGCAGGATTTATTAACTTTGGATATTTTCCTGTTACTTTGTCCAGTGCATTTATTGCTTCCTGTCTTTTTTCGGAGGACGCGATTCCTAAGGATTGGCTAGTAGAGTCTTTTCATCAATATATATCAAAGGACGAAAGTGACACTTTAAAAAGAAGTATCAGTGATGAATGCCCCGACCCGTCATTGGACGAAGATGTAGCTGACGTGCTTTCAAGTTTTAAGTGCCGCAGGGTGATTAAAAAGAGCTCGATGCCAAAAATTATTGAAGAGTTAGCCCATCAAGAAATAATACAGCGTCCAAAATACGTGGCTAATGCATGGTCACCGATCCTGAAGCAACTGAAAGGTTTTAAGCAATTTGAAACTGTTGAGAGTTTGGTGAGTTTTTATGAAACAAAAAAGCCGAACCAGAAAAAGGTTTGCAAGCTTTTTATTTCAAGCCCAGGCTCTGATGCCGAACGGGAATGCTTCTCTCATTTAAAGCGGTTTGTTAAATCTCTTGACGACAACGTTATTAGTGTTTTTCTCCAGTATGTTACTGGTAGCAACATCATTGCAGTTGATTCAATCGAGGTTGCATTTAGTGATGAATCAGGTAACGCACGTCGACCTGTTGCGCACACATGTGCTCCTCTACTGATAATACCATCAACTTACCAGTCATACAACGAACTGTCCGAGGAATTCAATAACATTTTTCGACGAGAAGCTGCATGGTCATTTTACATAGTTTAATAGATAATTGGATAAAGACGAACAATTAAACAACAATGTTGTGGTTGAAGTTATACTATACTGTATACGTACGTATACAACTGTTCTGTTATAGTGTTCTGTTATCAAGAGTTTTACTTCACAATATCCCATTATATGATACATTTATGTAGTAAAAAATTGTTTTGTAGATAAATTATAATGTATATTGTGTTTCTCTTCACCAAATGCAAGAACGGCACACCTCTTAAAAAATCCTTTGACTTCTAATATGTGACAATGAAAGCAGTTACGACGATTGTTGATAAAATGGTATATATTTTAAGGCTCAATTCATTCTAATAATTCATTAAATAGTTTCTATTGTTCCTGAAAATGATTTTGCAAATATTGACGAACTGTGAGGTAGTGGTGAATTCCGTGATTGCCGTCATCACTTAAAGGTTCCGGAACAAGGCGGCGTATTTCATTGACATGATCTTCGGTCAACTCAACTGAATTTTCAGGGACAACAACCATATTGTCCGTTTCGATATCACCTACCGCGCCATCAGGATCAATGCCATATAAATTTACATTATCGATATTAACGTCTGTTAAATCAGTTTCATTAAGCTCAGAACGCCATAGTGCTAGGGGCGACATACTCCGCATAGTTCGAAGTCCATGATGATTCCATTGGTTGACAAACTCATTGAGTGAGGCTTGTATTGCAGGAATGTAAACATGGTGCAGAGCATACAAATCGATTTCATCGTGCGCATCAAGAAGCTCGCTTTCCTCCATAAATTGGAATAGATCTTTATAATAGGAGGAACTCACTCTATTCACCTCCGCCCAAAGGCGCTCAATTCTTTGGTTATGCACGCTGCGTCCGGCTATGAAGCTTCCTCTGTTTAGACCTCTATTAGCTATCATAAACCGTGCAACGTGTACATTTTCCACCCCCCTATCGCCACGTACGCGAGATGGAATCCCAAATCTTTGTGCACCATTGACAAAACATTGCAAAACAGTATGCGCAAGATTGTTCGTGAAGCATTTCAAATAAATAATAGTTCTGCTATAGCCGTCGATGCAACCATGCAGGACAAATCTCCAAGTGATGAGTTTGTGATTGGAGTCAATGTGCCAGAGATGATTTGGTTTCCTCACATTGTACACCCGCCTTTGTATAGCGTATCTCCGTCTTATGGCACGGTTAATTGGGTCAATAGTTTCTAATGCTTCCCTAACTCTCCACCTTTGGATATGAATACCCCGACCACGCAAAGCTCCTCTTACGTAAGTTTCGCCAGAGAAGGGTGTCAATCTTAAAATATCTCTAATGCACCATTCAAGCTCTTGTTCTGTTATGTCACAGTAAGTGTCTGCTATACCATAGTCTATTCTTCTTCTGTAAAGAGTTTTGGCACTCACTCCCAGGCAACTGGCAATGGCTTTCCAATTCATACCCGTACTGCGTAATTCTTCAATTTGGTCTGCTGTAACAATGTATCTACGTCTGCCTCCAGAGCTTGCTTCTTGCGGGACTGGAATTCTACAACGTATCGCAACTTGCTCATTACATAAAGTAATCTGTGTTCGCAGAAATTGAAGTTTTTCTCTTAATATATTGAGTAAGTTTGCAATGAGCGGCGATATGGGATGTTGTTGATTTCTAAGGACTAAGGAGATGGCCATTATTATTCGAATATGTCCTTCAAGGCGATCACATAAATGTTCTAAAAAATTGAAGTTACCAAGAATATCGTTCCTATCTATACGTTCTATACAGTGTTGTATCGATAATAACAAATTTTCTAAATCTTCGTCGACAGCTCTTGAGACGTTTGACATTTCTAATAAAACCACAGTAATGAAATGAAAAAGCTTCGCTATCTTTCTCTTAGTTTATAATCAGACTTAGTTTTTGATTTTTAATTGCCAAAAAATTCTCGACTCCAAAAAAATTCTCGACTGTAAAAAATTCTCGACCATAAAAAAATTCTCGACTATAAAAAAAAATTCTCGACTATAAAAATTCTCGACTATAAAAAAATTCTCGACTATAAAAAAAAAAATTCTCGACTATAAAAAAAAATTCTCGACTATAAAAAAAAAATCTCGACTGTAAAAAAAAAATCTCGACTGTAAAAAAAAAACTCGACTCCAAAAAAATTCTCGACTACTTTTGTCCACTATGGCTTTCCATAATATTCCTCCTTAGATTATGCAATGTTTGAGCTTCACCCCACGATTTTCAGGTGTGTTGCGGGTAGACTATGAATTTTAATTAGCATGAATTTTTGAACTTAGCATGAATATATTTGAACTTAGCTTGAATATATTTGAACTTAGCATGAATTTATTTGAACTTAGCATGAATATTTTCAGTTAACATGAACATTTGCAATATAGCAGTTTTGTCCGCTTCGGCGCCCCATAGTCGTGTATGCAAACGTTTTTTCATTTACTTGAAGTTATCACTCAGTTCTAAAAGATGGTTGGGTACATTTTTGTGACTTTTCTTGTAATCGGTGCATGCAATGCAACAAACAAAGAATTCGAAATTCCACAAATTGCATTCAGGAAAATAAATGAAAATGGTATGTTGTCAATATGAAATATAATAATGTACTTTTATTCGTTTGCTTTGAAGAAAAGAAAAGTTTAAGTCTATAGCTGATACATGTACATCAAATTTTGAATTATCGTCATTTAGCTTTTAGTTGTATTGTAAAATATTCTAGATGACACTCTTAAATCTGAAAATTTTGTTCCAGCGTCTCAATTTAGCTTTATTTTATAATTGCAATACCACGGAAAAATTTTTATTATTTATCTTTAGCAGTTACAAGTGAAAATTTGAGTTATTCTCTTTTTTTAATTTACAAATTTCATGACCTTTTTCGTGCACAAATGGAGTGACAACGCCAACAACTGTGTTGTGAAAAATAAAAATCTTTAAAAAGAAAAACAATATTAATAAAGTTGTAAAAGATATATGAATATAAGCTATGTATAAGCTATAAGTTACGTAAAGCTTAGAAAAGCTAACAAGAGCATGATTTAGAAAAAGCCATTTTAGTCATCAGCAACTATCTTAAGTCTTCAAATCATTAACTGCACTCCGACGTTTGACATCTAAACACATACGTAGTTGCAACAGTCGTATCAAGTCTGCACATATGGTATTGCTATGCAATTTTTCTGTGTTCACTCACTGAACCTCTTTAATTAAATAGAATGTGCATAATAATCACACAAACATACTCAATTGGAATATAAAAGTACAGTACATGTTGCTATAGATAAGAAAGTTACGACATTTTTTTTGTTATATATTAACCGTATAACGTCCATCTTTTCCTTGAATTATTTATGTAAAGCTTGAGTTCTGATGAATTAAGAAATGTTTTCCAGACTCTGTTCAACAAGAAATTATCGATGTAAAATACGCGCTGAATTTAATTTCGTTTTACTTTTCATTATGCAGGTGATGCTTTGGCACCAAAAGATATCATTGCAAGTCATGTCGTTGACAGTGCAATTGAATGTTCATTTGAATGTCATCGAGAGAAGAGATGTGTTGGTTTTAACTATCTAGACGAGGCTAAAAAATCTGAGATAAACTGCCATATTTCCAACGCAACAACCAGAAGCAGAGTGAACACATTGTTCGTCAAAGAAAAATGGACTTTTTATCAAGCTCTTTTCAAGACGGTAGGAATTTAACAAAGTCAACATTATTTAGTTATTCTATAATTTCACTAAATACGTTCAATACAATTTCATGAAAATTTTCTCAAAACTGCGTAGAGCAGAATACATTCAAGTTCAACTATAATTAAAAAACTTTTGCTTTACAAATTTAATAAAATAAAGTTAATTTGAATAAAAATATTTATTAAGGGAAACATTTAACAGTCTAATATTCAACCAGAAAATGGTGAAATGGTGATATAAATTTTATGACCTTCATCTTAAATACGTAAATAAGAGAATAAATTTACGTTTGTGAACGTAATTATTATAGACGTATATTACGTGTGTTAATTATTATAGACACTCAATTTAAGTCAAAACAAATGAACAAAAATGTTAAAATTGAAGTACATGCAGTAATAATATATGAGCATAGTGACCTAATTAAAAATTTATTCTTTTTTGTTCAATAGTCATAAAATAAATCCTGTGATATATATGATTCCCAGGAACTCCAAAACAGTGATAATTAAAGGGGGGAATATTCATATATACGTAGTCACAGCTCGTAAAAAACAATTGATTTCAAAAGAAAGTAATCAGTATTTTCCACCACTCCCCCCAATTATAGACGTTCAGGCGTCCCTTACGATTCCTTTAGTGTACATGTGTCATTTTAGGAAGATTATGAGATGTAATTTCTTAGGCAGAAATTTCTTTTTGGTAATTCCAAACAAGACATGAATTTCTTTACAATCTGACTGCTTAATTTTTAAAGGCTTGGTAAAATGAAAATATTTAAATGCCAAAATTTAATCCAAATAGCCTTGGGTACATGCTTTACTGTGCTTAAAAAGAATTTTGTCGCCCACATCCATCAAACTATTAATTTTTTCATGGTGCTATAGTAAATATTGTAAAAACAGGCAATTTATGTGCCTCAAAGCGATAAGTGTGCACAATAAGCAGAAAGTAACGTTTTATCCACGATAACGTCTTCATAGATAGTTATCAAACATAGACTGGCATGATATGAGCAAAAAAGTATGCTACACTGTTTACTTTCAGTCACTCCTTTATAAAGCATTAATTAATGTTTTTTTACCATGATACCATAGGAAGGCAGACCTGCCAGTTCCCCAATTTTGTCGACTGTCATCTAAATCTTAATGCAAATCTTCAGTTAACCAGATATTCAATCACTTCTCCTGTTTGAAATTTTTGGTATCACATGTATTTAGTAAAATAATTTTGAATGAATCAAGTCTGAGTAAGCGTTTAATTGAGAATTGTGATAACAAACGCACTTATAAACAGAAGAATTTATAAAAGGGAATTTTGTAAGAAAAAGCAAACAGAGAACACCCAAGTGGACTACTTGTTTATAAAAAGAAAGTGCGTAGAAAATTTGGGTGCATAACATATAAAATTTATAAATATTTATATTAAATATTTATAAATATTTATATTAAATACTCAGTCCGACCTGATTTGCTCAAATTTTTTTCACTATCTACATGTCATTATAGAAGGGTGAAAGTGATCGAAAATCTGGCGTTTAGAAGATTTGTTTTAAGATTTAGGTGAAACCAATAAAACCGGGCAAGTTGGCAGGTGTTCCTGTGGTATAAAACAAGACTTAAAATGCTGAGTCGGCATTAAGATGAACTCCAAGGATGGAGTACGTAAACAACTACACGTGCATGACCATATAAGGAATTTTGAAATGTTATTATGAAAGTTAGTCATACCTGGAAACTTACTATTTTGTATTGTTAATTTTATTTCTATTGAATTAAACTGTGTTGAGTTTATATATTCGAAAACAACTTAGGTATAGAATGTAGAAAATAGTTATTTAGCACAATGGATCTATCCGCAGGAAAGCTGTGTAACAATTTGCTTATAGGTTTAATGAGTTACAAAACCCATAAGACGTACATTGCAATAGCTTTTTTAATAAAACTTTTTTCAGGAAAAAGACTGTGCAGATCTTTACAAAAAAGGTGAAAAAAATAACGGAGTTTATGTAATTGATCCAGATGGCCAGGGCAGATTCCGTGTCTTCTGTGATATGACGTCATCTGGTGGAGGTTGGACTGTGTTTCAACGTCGTCAAGATGGAAGTGTAAACTTCTATCGCGGTTGGAAAGACTATAAACAAGGATTTGGTAATCTTGCTTCTGAATTCTGGCTTGGATTGGATAAAATATACCGACTAACATCAGCAAGGCGAAATAAACTTCGTGTTGACCTGGGAGACTGGTTAGGAAACAAAGCATATGCTGAATATGATTTTTTTGCTGTAAAGAATGAAACACATAAATATCAGTTGAGTCTTGGTGCATATTCTGGTGAGTCAATAAGTAAATATAAACATTTGATGGACAAATTTCTAAGCAATATTTTGATATAAGCATTATACGTCGGAATGATTATAGTGATTCCAGCTTGCGTAGACAGGTCTGCAATTTTGGGAAAAACATAGATATTTTAACGGTTGATTTTTAGCGGAAGTCTTGTTAGATCATAAAAAAATATAATCAATTTGATCTTACAAACTTATAACAAAATACATTGAACAACCACAAATCAACCTACGAAAACAATTTTTGACTTACAATAAGAGATCATTCATGGATTGTGGATACCGTATCGTTAAGATTAAATGAAAATTCAATTTAAGCTTTGTTAACAGGTAATGAGTATGCGCCTAAACATCATGGAATAAAATATAAATAAAATACTTTGTATATAAAAGAATTCGCATCCTTGTGAAATGAACACTGAAACATTTAATATAAAAGCAAGCCTGTAGTATATGATTGAAAATTCAGGAATCAAATATATATGCATCACTAAAAGGCAAAGTTTTTTCATGAACTCGTGACAAGAACCTAAAACGTTACTGAAATTCATTCAAGTTTACGTGGATAAATTTACTCATAGAAGGATGAAAAACATAAATATAAAATTATGTCTCCGACAACACTACTGGTATATATGAAATAAATAAAAAATTTTGCAGTACTATTGAAATAAAAATTAAATACCAGTCATTAGTCAGGCTGGATGTAAAAATAATGTTCTGGGGAATGAGAGTGAGATCGAAGTCAAGCAGCTGCCTAACAAATATTACCTTCAAACGGTAACAATATTCATGAGATTGTCGTTAGATCTCTTGCATGCACCTGAATATATCAAATGAAAACTTAGAACTATATAATATATTTTGGCTTTTACATCAGTTCTCCTTCCTTACTATACGAAATGCGGAAAAAACTGATTGACAGCTCTCATACCCTCCCTCCTTCCCTCACAGAAAAAACGACCACAGAAAAGCTCTAAGAATCTTACAACAACTGCATAAAACCCTAGTTGGGGGAATTTCTGCAAGTCAAAAGGAGAATTGTATAACAACATTAAATACGATTTTATGAGAACTCTTAATTTTCTTAGGAACTGCTGGAGACTCATTATCTTATCATAAAGGTATGGCATTTACCACAAAAGATTCAGATAATGATAAAAATGGAGCAAATTGTGCCACGGACTTAAAAGGTGCTTGGTGGTATAATAGTTGTTGTAGTTCCAACCTGAATGGACAATATAATTACAATCAAGACAAAGACATAGGTGTGATTTGGGGTCATTGGAAAGTTTTTGAATCCTTAAAGTTCACGGAGATGAAAATAAAACCATAAGAAATTTCCAAAGACTGTGATGTTATAAATTTGATCATTATTTCTAATGAATCTTTCAACATATAATAAAAAGATTTTAGCTTTTATGTCTTTTTAAACAACCTTTATAATCCTTAACATTTAAAAAAGAGTTGAAAAAATTGTTAAAAATGCTGTAGTTAAATAATAATTTTCTAATAACTTCCCTAAAATTAGAGCTGATTTCGGTAATTATATGATTCTAATGTTACGACTTTTCACTCATTTCTTTAATGATATGTTGCTCTGTAAGAAGCTAATTTTATCTTTTCGCCACGTTCCACGCAATCTTGGTGTATCATGCATTTCATGCAATTATCTTACATCATTATTCACTATGTAAGCATTATCGCTTTTATTGGTCAACTACCTGCAAATAATTTTACATATCTGTAGGTAAGACGTCTATTTACAAGTAACAGTTTCTACAATTATGGACGCCATTAAAAGCCATTTTTAAAAAAAAATCAAATCATAGCGATGTTTTCCACAGTTTCACATGAAACTATCTTATATCATCTCGCTCGACAGCAATCTTGTTCCGACCCAAGAAAATGATTTCACACCACTCATAGACAACATAATACATCTAAATTTTTGTTCTTTAGTGGTTAGAAAAAGTTAAATCTTTACAGTCATTATTCATTTAACAATTTGTAAAGAAATCATCACAAGTTATCACAGTTTTGCACAAAATTATGTCTTTGGAGTGATTGTTGTTCATTTGCCAGTTAGAATATTTAAGTACAAAAGTATTTTAGTTATTTTGAAATTCCAAGCAAAGAACAAAGAGAAAATGAAAAAGAAAGGAATGCGGACTATGAATTTACAACAATATAGTGATGTAGAGTTATTGCAAGTTGCAACAGACTAAGACTTGTAACATACAAACATAGCTTTATAAAATTGTTAACCCACACGTGTCAAAGAGTATTTGCAATTTGAGAGCTGTCAACCGAAAAGTAACGACACAACAAGTCGATTTATACCAGGAGATTACTGCCAAATATTGGATTCATAGGGGAAGGGATGGAAGGGGTGTTTGTGCGATTCTTATATAAATCCGTAATAAATTTTCAACTTATCGTAACACATAAAACAAGCGTAAGGTAATAACAGTGTATAAAATTTGTTTAATTCACATTGTCGAAATAATTCTTACATTTGTGTACATTCTTACATTCATAAGTGTTAATGTTACTAGCTAATCAAACCGACTCGTAATGCATAAACAAAGTTACTGTCAAATGGGAATATTACTTTTTCTTTAATTAAAAAATGAAACAAATTTGAAGGGGAAAAGGTAAATCAAATTTTGTGGACATGAAATTTTTACGTTAATGCTAATTAATGAAACAATATCCAAAAGGAATCATTCCATTTTTAAAATCCAAACAACCCTACCGGAAGGACGAGCAAAATAAGACACTTCTCAAAAAACCTTCATACACACGTAACATTTAAGCATTTTGTTAAGCGCATAACTAAGGTACACCAAAAAGAAACCCCTTTATTGAAGAAAAAACAATTGTGTTTATGGGTAATTTACATACATGCGTATAATACTCTCTCTAACCACTCAAAAATTGAACTATTGATGAAGTCCAAATTCGCCCTAAACATCACAATAGATTTTACCATTACCATGACGAAACTTGTTTTCCGGTTCCTCCTCGGAAAAATGCTTGAAATGATTTAAGCATTCCTTTCGAAAAAGGGCGTATTCCTGAAAGAAAAAGAGCAGTATTTAAACAGATGAAGTCATATTAACTATAATTTTTCATCAGCAAATTCATATGTATAAAGTTGATCTCACCTTTATAAATTAAATCAATTAAAAAGAATTTAGAAATTAATCATCAATACATGTAAAAGAAAAAATTCAAACATCTGTTTTATATTCATTCGTTTCAGTTATTTTTATTTCATAGAAAAAACAAACTATGTTTTTTGCAAAATATCTTTTATTTCAAATAATTCCGAGCAAGGGTGATGGAAGCCTTGTAACTTGCAGTTTTTTTTAAGAATTGTTAAAACTACCAGCATGCAGTTAATGTATTATTTGCTTAACATTTCTCATTTAGATGGAGGTTCATTTGTAAGCAAGTAGCTCTTTCTTCAAATATTTTCAGACTTTTTTTGGTAAAATATATGTGACATTCATATAACAACCTCTATATCTTTTAGTTAATAATACAGCTGGAACTTCTTTTATACTGATTTGTTTCTATAAAATTTATTCGAAAAATTCTTCTTGTAAACTTGCAGAGTGTTACGCTGCTTTTACGTATGTTTGCAATGAATGCTCTTATTGTGTACAAAATTAGTAAGACTTTGAGATCTATATGAATAAGATATTATTTTGGGCTAACATCTGTATTAAATAAATCCACATGGAAAGAACTTAGTCAAAGTAATATGCATTTACACAAAATGTTTTTGAAGAAGTAGTGCAAATGTAAATGTAAAAAGATGATGAGGTTTGAAGGGGTGGGGGGAGCAAATTTCAAAAATTGTTTCATGCATTTCAAATAAAGCAAATGGGGTTTAGGTTACAATACCACGGCTATCATTGCGTATTACAAATTTGAAAAGTCATTGCAAGATGCATGCCAAGGTAATAATGCCTTACATTATGTTAAATCCAAAGATGTTTTGCAATCATCAAGCGAAATCGTTTGTAGAGCTGCCAAATTCAATTCACGTTCTTCCGAGCTACATGTACCAACTCTAAATGGATATGAGTGGGCTTCAAGTTTAACAATCAGTATTTGGTTCAAAAAGTCAGGTGGTATATTAAGTAATACTATCAGCAGCTTCATCAATAATCAAAGTGATTCTACTAGGAGTTGGAGAATCTTTGTTTCCAATAACGGTGGGACAATGGACACCATAAAAGCTACTTTAGTCACGTTACAATCCAAGAAATCTTGGGACGACATCACAATGCCATTCATTGATCACTGACATCATTTTGTGATGACGTATGACGGATACACTGTGTCATTTTACTACAACAATCGCCTCGCTCTTATCGACAACCTTTGTTGTCGTGGTAACATCGTCAGCAGCAATTCCGATGTGGTTATTGGTGGCAGAATTTATGGACAAGATCTTTATGCAGGATATATTGACGAAGTTAAGATTTTGAAGAGGTCGGTTGATCGTTATGAGGTCACAAAACTTTACCAACTCAAAACATTGTAAAAAGCTACGTCAATGAAGAATATATGAACGAACCGTGAAATTCTACTGTTAATGGATTGTTCTTTTGAAAGCGTTGTCGATCGTTTTTCAAGAGTTCTTAACATGTTTTGTGTTTTCGCTAATTGTGCTTCGAGTGTTTTCATTTGTATGGAAAGCTTAATCATTTGAACTTCGAGCTTCTTTATTTGTTTTCGCAAGGTTATAAGTTTGATATTTGTCCTTTTGTCTTGTTGACTTTGGATTGGAGTTTTAACTTAAATGTTTGAAGGTGTTTGTTTTGTGCGCCAAGTTTTTTGTGATATGTTTGAAGTGTAATTATTTGTGCTTTTATGGATGCAATTTGTGTCTTCAAAGTTACATTTCTTGGATCAGGTTTTAAGGTGCGTTTCATGTCGAGGCTGATTGTTGAGAAGTCATCTTTTGTACGATCTTCTTTTGCATTAGTCAACATCGCTCTACGGAAATAGTTAAATGATATGAGACAAAACAGTCAACTGACATATTAAAGCATAATATTCAGTGGCCGACTACATAGTAGGCTCTGTATGCTGAAGTTTACAGGCCGGGCATTTGAGAGGTCCATAGTTTCTAGACATAAATAGTTTTTAGATTCTGCTATTCCGGACTAGAGTTAAATGCTCTTAATTTAGACCATTTATGCTGTTGAAAACCGCACAATCTACTGTTGAAATTCACGATGCTTAGAAAACATGAAGTATTAGCTTTCCCCAATTTGAAGTTTAAATTCATTCCTTATTGTTGATATATGAGTTGCAAAGACAGGCTGGGAAATACAAAGGTAAGGGCTATAGGAGTGTAAGGAACGCAAACGTCATCATGAGATTGAGCCTAGTTGGAGGAATAAACATCCGATTTAAAGTTTAACAAATTTGTATTAGCCGGCGTGCTCCGTAATTAGTAATCCGCCACTGATGATAACACTTATTACCCTGTGTCACTTGCTTACTGACCATAATCCAGCATGATGTTCTTGTGATCATAAAACACAGCCACAAGTTTCAAAATTTTTAAACAATTTCTAATAATAATACGTAACGTAACAGAAGTTAAATTCCTAGAAATTGTGCCGATTCATCATCTTCCACATTTTAAACTCCGTTTATCAAAAAAATTCTATTTGAATTGGTTTGGAAAATGTTTATGGTGATTAAGAAATATTCAATCATAGTTTAAAAATTCTAAAAGGCTCAAAACAGTACGAAAATAAACCTTTTTGTAAATTTTAACTTTCAAAAGTGGCGTAGTACAAAATTTGGGAGCTCATATTCATATAAGCATACTAGAATCTTTAAAACATGATTTCAAAGGATCTTAGAACACGATATGAATTAGTGTCATTTCATGCAGTTACAGAGATTGCTACGAAATTGCAGGAGACAGTTTATAGCTACGAAGAAGCAGATTACGAACAATAAAACAACCATGAAATTCAGTTCATCTCTTTTGATCCATAGATGACATACTTTCTAACATAAAAACATTTAATAACGGCATATTTAATGCAAAATACTAAAACTGTCCATTGCTACTATTTTAGCAGCTTTCAACCTTTTCACTATAAAGCACTGTCCTATTAAATCATGCTCGCCTCAAAAATACAATAGGTTTCACACCTCGCACGTTTTAGTTTTAAAAAGATTACAACTTACCCATGAAAAATAGCAAAAAGACAAGCTATTACAATCATCGCATAAGTAAAGTTCGCCATCTTGTGATAAGTCTCACTTGTACAGCTTTGAAGCGTGTGTGAAGAAAAAGCAAAGCTCTATTTATATATTTGTGTTAATTGTGGTTCAATAACAACTTGTTATAAAATTTGATTTCATGTTGACTATTCATAATTATTTTATTGACTTGCTACAGCACTTGAATTTAATCAAAGTTTTAATTGCATCTTTGTGCTTATACACAAACAAAATATTAAAGAAGGCTTTGCACAAAACATTTCATTTTGAAGTTTCCAACGTACCTTTTTGAACACTTGTTTTGACAATGGTATCGAAATCAAAAAGCAAAATAGCATCTTTAATTGTGTTTACATAAGTTGGGAATTCAGCCAGAAATAGCAAACATAAAGACATGGAAGTGCGTGGTCCTTCTGCAAATATGTAATGTGTACATTCAGGATGAAAATTTACACATTTTGTTGAAGCTCTAATAATATATAGCGATAGGCAGGCTTACGTATTCAAGCCAGACAAGATTATCTAGCATATCACGATTTAATGAGCTAGTTAGGCTCGAACACATGCTTTATATCTTACTTATTCAAGCCAGACAAGATTATCTAACATATCACGATTTAGTGAGTGAGTTAGGCTCCAACCCATGCTTTATATTTTAGTTATGAGCAAATAGACATATTCCCAAATAGACATGTCCTTAAATGGCTCGCCAAAGCAAATTTAATGACTGAGTTGGTTTCCTTTCAGTAGTTTGCAAGATGTGTTTAGCATAACTAAAAGAATTCGCTTGCTATTGATGGGAAGTATTTGGATACATCTCGTACGTAAAATCATAATGATTGTTTTTTTAGAGATCATGCATAAAACCTGTATTTAGTAAACACTCATTTATCACTCACGTTAGATGTATAATCACATTCCCGAGTTCCAGGACAAAAATTTCACAAGCTCCACATTCTTGTCAAACTGCTCGTTAGCTACATTCAGCCTCATGACTACTAACTCAATGTCATACAGACTTCTGCCCTCTTGATCACTACAAAAAGCCAAGTTTTTGCCTCATAGAAACAGCTACGCATTTGAAACGCCGTACATGCAGAAAATGATACTCAAGCAACTATACAACTGTAGAGTTTATCTTCCTCATCCTACGAAGAAGAGTTTAGATTGCCTCACATTTCAATCAATATCTTTCTCTGTTAGCCTTTGATTTCCCTGTCAGATCTGGACGACTATACGACAGAGGAAAACATCAGTCAGCTTGAACTAAATCGAAGTGCATGGAAGAAAAGCTACCATGAAATTACCGAGCAAAATATATGAATTTTTAATAGAGTTGAATACCAAAAACCATCGCTATGGCAACCTTGCTTTTTGTATCGACTATATAGTTCATTTTCTGGATAAACCAACCTCTAGGGAATTATCAAACAATGTAGCTCGCCCACGATGGCTGTTGCCTACAACAGCATGAATGAAATATTCTTTTGTACTTGACAGCCATTATGGAGGTCATGACCTAACACTAAAACCACCTGTAATGTAATTATTTCCAAATAAAACTGTTGTGCAGTTTTTCACAGACTTGCAGACAACAGGTCAGGGCATGAATGGAAAAGATATTTTCAAAAAATCTTAATTAATAAGTAGCATTTATACATCAACAATTGCTAGTAAAAAATTTTTTCTATGGAATTATCATTTCAAATAAAAGAGGTTGCAACAAAAACTGCTTTTCTGAACATAGATAATCTGCTCAAAGTAAATGATGAAGTTAGTCATTTAATATTTTGAGGGTATGGTTCCCTTAATCATATTCTAATCTAATTTAAAAATATAATGGGCCATCATTAGGGGTAAGCCGAATAAATTTATATTTTAAAGCGATCATTTATTAAATAAATTTGTAGCATGAAGGTTTTTTTATTGGAGACATTTCTTTGTCGAAGCACATAAGACATTTTCAACAGTCTTAGATACAACTAGCTAAATGAATAATCTAATTAAAAAATTACATTGCATTAAATTGCATGATAGGATTAACAGAAACAGTATTTACTTTGACCAATAAGGAAAGATATACGTACATGAAACTATCACATGATCAGTGGCGTAGCAAACCCGCAAGTTTCTTCTTGCTATGTGAACATTTTGTTGTTCATAATACTGTGAATTTTTAGTAAAACGAATTATGCTGATGATAAAATATTACGTATCATGAATAAATTGAGGGCTGGCTAGGCCACTGCCCATAAAGGAATAAAATTGAAAAATCATGAAATAGAATTTTGGATGTGATGAGACCAAAAAGGAGCTTTTTCTATCTCTCTAATATAAGGATGAAGTTTTGTGTTAATTTTAAATCACCAAAGTCATTTAGGTAGCGCGTAATGTATTTCTTTTTAATTGACGATATTGAAATGAAAAGATTTTCCAAAGATTACAATCATTAAATTTTGTATCGTCCGGTTTACTTTTGTGATTAAATCTAGGATGAAAACAAATTAATGGATTTTTCTTTACAGGCATTTAATAGCGTTACATATATAATAATTGCGAATTTTTCTTACTATTTGCCTTTAAAAATCAGCATTGATAATGATGCTACCGAGTCTAACGTTTTATTTATCAGCTTCTTTGGTGTACTTGAAGAAACATCTAGTTTTTTTTTTAACAGGTCTACAGATATTGAGAAACTTGGCTGCATTGAGCTTAAAGATAGATAGGTAAGCCATTATTTCTTAAAAATTAGATAATTAGAACAGCTTTTAATGAGGAAGGTGAGAAACTACATGGTAATAACTACATGGTCAGATTTGAAGGTTAAACAGAGCAACAATTTCCGGAAATTTAGTAAAATTGATACTTAGTAAAGAAGGAGGTTTTATAAAGTATAAAGTTTAGTGGAGTAGAAAGTTTAGCAAAAAAAAAGTTAAGAAAGGCAGGAGATTTTGTAAAGAGAAGGAGGTTGAATAAGGAAAGAGGTTTTGTAAAGAAAAGGAGCTTCACTAAGGAAGGATGCTAAATAAAGAATAAAGTTTATTGTGCAAGATATACGATTATTATTCATTATGACTTGCATCTAACGTTACAAAGATGCCAATAAAGCAAATACTAATTTCCAGACGATCCTCTTTGCAAATTTTTAATTTAAGTTGAAGCAGATATCAATCCTTTTTTTTCTAATTTGTTTATTTTGAAAAAACACAACGTGCTATATAAGCGCGTAAGTCTTGTTAAATGTGAGAAACCATATCATGCCATGAAGAATAAAATATAATAATTAAAAAGAAATATCTCTTTAAAGAAAGCAGCTAACAACATGGTAAAACTCAAAAAACTGCAGTTATTTTGAGTATAATTTGATGATATCAGTTTCATTTAAATAAACATGTTAAAAACTCACATTTCCTCCATTTCATTGATGGAAACAATATTTTTTTATTACTTCATGAAATGAACACAATTTTTTGCATATTTGCTCATAAACAAACATTTTTACATGACGTATTGAGAGATATATTGATCATTGTCATGAAATTATAAATATTTATGCAAAGTCATCATGGTTTGATTTTCATTTCACTGGTTTTCACGTTACTAAAACCAGACCAAGCAAGATTTTTACCATTTAGGTTGGAATGATAACAACCATTATACCACCAAGCACCTGTGTAGGAAGTAGCGCAACTTCCACTAGTTTTATCATTATCTGAATCTTTGGTTGAAAACTTCATGTTATTGTGATAGGATAATTTATCCCCAGCAGTTCCTGAAAAGTAGAAATAGTTCCAGAGTTTTCTGGTGATTTGTATTTTAAAAACGTTAAAACCACTTAAAGCTGGGCTAGCTGGCTTGCAGGGCCAATTTGTATTCGCATTCATATGAGGCGCGCTGGCCAGGCTGAAATGTTGTATATAATTTCTGCCAACAAACATTGTATTTTGTGGGAAAATTAAATTGTATTTAGACTCAGACATTCAACAATCTGATTGCTACCAGTGAGTTCCACCGACTATTGTAGTGGTATAACATGGAATTTTCAAACTTATTTTCAATTGCACGCTGTTGTTATGAAGTTTTTTGCCATATTTAAATAACCAAATAAAACAAGAGCATGCGCAATCTCATCTCTTCCAGCCCGGTTTAGCCGGGCTGGCCCAATTGATGCTGTTATATGAGCCCGTTAGAACCTTGCTTCCTTCAAGTGGATCTCGCCCAGCCGGTTTGGCCCGCTCTTCATACGAACGCAATTTCAAAAAAATTGTAAAATAATATACGAGGCGAGATATCGGCAAAGCTATCCTAGCCTTATTTAAGCGGGCTGGCCCGTCTCATATGAACAGGCCCTAAGGTACAATCTGTCAACGCAATTTGCTATCACAAACACTCATTTTCTTCAAAATTTTCTTACCTGTGTATTTTCCAATACTTAATTGATACTTAGAATTTCCATCCTTTACAACAAAATCTTCATATTCAGCGTATTTTTTAGTGCCTGACGTGTTTACTAGATCAATTCGAAGTTTATTTTTCCTTGCAGATGTTAGTCGATGTATCTTGTCCAATCCAATCCAGAATTCTGATTTAAGATTACCAAAGCCACGTTTATACTCCGCCCAACCCAGATAAAAGTCTGTATTTCCATTTTTTATATGTCTTTGAATTACAGTCCAACCACCACCCGATGACGTCATGTCACAGAAGACTTTAAAGTATCCGTTACCATCAGGATCTACTTCGTATATTCCATTGTGTCTTACACTTTTTCTGTAAAGATCTGCGCAGTCTTTTCCTGATGGTTATAAAAATATTGACTAACACAAAGAAATTAATTGAAAGATATTGTTTTTATTGAACAAATATTACTCCCTACTCGAATCTATAAGTGTCTTTTCTTTTTTTAAAATCATTCTTACCTTTTTCCGAAGTATTTGTAAGTTCTTCATTTTCCATGTAAAGTGTTTTCAATTGTTTTTCAAGACTTTTCAACTCTGTTTGTAATTTTGCCGTTTGTGCATCAAGTTTTTTCATTTTTGACGACAGATCAACCATTTTCAATTCAACTTTCTTAATTTTTTGTTGTAGTTTCACTAGTTTATATGTTTGTACTTCTGTCCTATTAATTTTGTGTTGAAGAGTTACTTAAATGTTTGTAGATGTTTGTGCTGGGTTTGAAGATTCTTGTGATATGTTTGAAGTGTTTTTATTTGTCCGTCTATAACTGCAATTTGTGCTTTCAAGGTTGCATTGTTTTGATCGGATTTCAAGGTGCGTTTAATGTCATGGCTGAATATTGAGTAGAAATCTTTTAAATCATCTTCCTTTTCATTTGTTAATTTCACTCTGCAAAAGTAAAAACAGTAAAGTGAGTCATGGAAAAGTTTTCAAATGGAATATTTCAAACTGTAAACAAGGAATCGAGGCAGTCTTATATTAAATACATACATGACATAGCTAACGACTTACTAAAAATGTGTAATGCATATAAAAGTCTTATTCCTCCCATACACAATTTGAACAAAAAAAAACCACTTTGCTTGAGCTAATTTCAAAAAGTCTTAGTTTATGGTATCGTAACTAGCAAAGCTTTGATCACGTTTGTATAGTGCCCCAGCACTGAATATTAACTACAACTCGACAACTTGTGCAAAAAGATTATTCAAATTTAAAAGAAATACGCCTTAGAGGCGTTTCTAATATAGTCTTCATAGCGTTCTATGATCACATTAACATTTCCAAGTTCTTCTCACTAAACCATAGCTTACCCTTGAATACTAACAACGATGCAGGTAATCGCCACAAATTCACAAATAAAGCTCACCATGTTGTCTTGTCTCAAATGTCTTACAAGTAAAAACTTCAGGTTTTGATGAAGGTTGAAGCTCTTTATATATGTGTGTGTCCAGCATAATTAAAATGTTAGGATAAAGAAGTCTTTACAAATTTATACAGACTAATTTGTTTCAGCAGATAATTGAACTGCTTTAAATAGCTTAAATATGTATAACAATTTGCACACATAGCCACAAACTGGACAGTGTTTCAATTTTAAAGTCAAATTCACTCAACTTGGAAGAAGTTTACAAAATTGACTCAAACTTTAAATCGGTAGTTTTGAAGGATTTGCAACATAACATTTACTCCTTAATAAACAGGCCTTTATTTATCGTAAAACAACAACACTAGCTGATTAACATAAAATTAATGATTAAAGACTTATTGTGATGATTTGGTAACAAACTAAATGTAGCTGTTAAATACGTTGTATTTCACTGATAGCTTGCTCGCGATGTTATAGATTTTTATGAAAACAATTTAAAAACAAGAAAGAGTTATAATAAAAGCACAAGGCATTACAGTTAGTGTTGTGTTTTGCTAAAAAAAAACAGAGATCTTCAAAAATTTCCAATTAAATGCTCTTTATGACGGCACCCTATAAGGGAGCGACATCCAAAACAAACCTTGCATTGATATAAAGACTGTTTATTAAAAATTGAGGCAATTAAAAAGCATTTAACAGTATCCTTTGACAATTTTTAATTCATCTTTAGAATAGGATTCAGAAAAACGTGTGTTAAAGAGCACGTATGCTCTATGTTGTTGATATAACGAAATAACTATGCTTTGAATGGTGCTTGACATCGGTTGTTGTAATCCGAGAAATGTTTTATCTACATAACCATCATCTCTATATTACACTCGCACTTGAAGTCGTAATTTCATTACAAACTTTTTAATCAAGCAAGTCTTCGGAGGTGGGCGGCAGAATAATCTCTGTATAAATAAAAAGAACATTGTTTACGAATAAGTGGTCAGTTAATTCGTTTGTCTTTCACTCAAAGTTTAGTTGATTAAGGCCGTCTCAATGAAAGGAAACTTAATAAAATACGAGGCATTTGAATAACCCTTAAGATTTTTTACATAACCCTTGCAAAGAAGAAATATGCTTAGGGAATTCTATTAAGGTAGTTTTGAAGGATTTGCAACATAACATTTTTTCTTTAATAAACAGGCCTTTATTTATCGTAAAACAACAACACTAGCTGATTAATATAGAATTAATGAATAAAGACTTATTGTTATATTATCGTAACAAGCTATTAAATTCGATGTACTTCATTGATAGCTTGCTCGCGATGTTATAGATTTTTAAGAAAACAATTTAAAGTTAAGAAAGAGTTATAATAAAAGTACAAGGCATTACAGTGAGTGTTGTGTTTTGCTAAAAAAGAACCGAGATCTTCGAAAATTTCCAATTAAATGCTCTTCATGATTGCACCCTGTAAAGGAGGGACATCCAAAACAAAGCTTGCATTGATATAAAGACTGTTTATTAAAAATTGAGGCAATCAAAAAGCATTTAACAGTATCCTTTGACAATTTTAAATTCATCTTTTGAATAGGATTCAGAAAAACGTGTGTTAAAGAGCACGTATGCTCTATGTTGTTGATATAACGAAATAACTATGCTTTGAATGGTGCTTGACATCGGTTGTTGTAATCCGAGAAATGTTTTATCTACATAACCATCATCTCTATATTACACTCGCACTTGAAGTCGTAATTTCATTACAAACTTTTCAATCAAGCAAGTCTTCGGAGGTGGGCGGCAGACTAATCTCTTTTTAAATAAAAAGAACATTGTTTACGAATAAGTGGTCAGTTAATTCGTTTGTCTTTCACTCAAAGTTTAGTTGATTAAGGCCGTCTCAATGAAAGGAAACTTAATAAAATACGAGGCATTTGAATAACCCTTAAGATTTTTTACATAACCCTTGCAAAGAAGAAATATGCTTAGGGAATTCTATTAAGGTAGTTTTGAAGGATTTGCAACATAACATTTTTTCTTTAATAAACAGGCCTTTATTTATCGTAAAACAACAACACTAGCTGATTAATATAGAATTAATGAATAAAGACTTATTGTTATATTATCGTAACAAGCTATTAAATTCGATGTACTTCATTGATAGCTTGCTCGCGATGTTATAGATTTTTAAGAAAACAATTTAAAGTTAAGAAAGAGTTATAATAAAAGTACAAGGCATTACAGTGAGTGTTGTGTTTTGCTAAAAAAGAACCGAGATCTTCGAAAATTTCCAATTAAATGCTCTTCATGATTGCACCCTGTAAAGGAGGGACATCCAAAACAAAGCTTGCATTGATATAAAGACTGTTTATTAAAAATTGAGGCAATCAAAAAGCATTTAACAGTATCCTTTGACAATTTTAAATTCATCTTTTGAATAGGATTCAGAAAAACGTGTGTTAAGGAGCACGTATGCTCTATATTGTTGATATAACGAAATAACTATGCTTTAAATGGTGCTTGACATCGGTTGTTGTAATCCGAGAAATGTTGTATCTACATAACCATCATCTCTATATTACACTCGCACTTGAAGTCGTAATTTCATTACAAACTTTTCAATCAAGCAAGTCTTCGGAGGTGGGCGGCAGAATAATCTCTTTATAAATAAAAAGAAGATTGTTTACGAATAAGTGGTCAGTTAATTCGTTTGTCTTTCACTCAAAGTTTAGTTGATTAAGGCCGTCTCAATGAAAGGAAACTTAATAAAATACGAGGCATTTGAATAACCCTTAAGATTTTTTACATAACCCTTGCAAAGAAGAAATATGCTTAGGGAATTCTATTAAGGTAGTTTTGAAGGATTTGCAACATAACATTTTTTCTTTAATAAAAACGCCTTTATTTATCGTAAAGCAACAGCACTAGCTAATTAATATAGAATTAATGAATAAAGACTTATTGTTATATTGTCGTAACAAGCTATTAAACTCGATGTACTTCATTGATAGCTTGCTCGCGATGTTATAGATTTTTAAGAAAACAATTTAAAGTTAAGAAAGAGTTATAATAAAAGCACAAGGCATTACAGTGAGTGTTGTGTTTTGCTAAAAAAGAACCGAGATCTTCGAAAATTTCCAATTAAATGCTCTTCATGATTGCACCCTGTAAGGGAGCGACATCCAAAACAAAGCTTGCATTGATATAAAGACTGTTTATTAAAAATTGAGGCAATTAAAAAGCATTTAGCAGTATCCTTTGACAATTTTAAATTCATCTTTTGAATACGATTCAGAAAAACGTGTGTTAAGGAGCACGTATGCTCTACGTTGTTGATATAACGAAATAACTATGCTTTGAATAGTGCTTGACATCGGTTGTTGTAATCCGAGAATTGTTGTATCTACATAACCATCATCTCTATATTACACTCGCACTTGAAGTCGTAATTTCATTACAAACTTTTCAATCAAGCAAGTCTTCGGAGGTGGGCGGCAGACTAATCTCTTTTTAAATAAAAAGAACATTGTTTACGAATAAGTGGTCAGTTAATTCGTTTGTCTTTCACTCAAAGTTTAGTTGATTAAGGCCGTCTCAATATAAGGAAACTTAATAAAACTATTGTAGTGGTATAACATGGAATTTTCAAACTTATTTTCAATTGCACATTATTGTTTTGAAAATTTTGCTATATTTAAGTAACCAAATACGACAAGAGCATGCGCAGTCTCATCGCTTCCAGCCCAGTTCAGCCGGGCTGGCCCGCTTGATGCAGTTATATGAGCCCGTTAGAAGCGAGATCTCGCTTCCTTCAAGCGAATCTCGTTAAGCCGGGATGGCCTGCTCTAATATAGAAATACGGCGTTTCTAATATAGTCTTCATAGCGTTCAATGATCACATTCAACATTTCCAAGTTCTTCTTGGCAGTAAGCCATAGCTTACCCTTGAATATTAACAACGATGCAGGTAATCGCCACCAATG